TTAAGTGACTCACATGCTGCGGGGGATACCCGGCGGAACGGACAGATCGACGAGGGCGCGCGCACGCGACGCCACAGTACGGGTACACCGCCCTCGTGAGAGGGGGGGAGGGGCAGATTCTAAGCGATGCAGGGGCGGGCGCAAACATTTGCGAGCGGGTGGATGGAGGGGGCAGCGAGGGGGAAGGCAGCCCTCGTGCGAAGCCGCCCTGCATGCACACGCACACACGCGCAGCCCGCCCGCAGCCGGCCGAGCGAGTCGGCCGAACGGCTGCCCCCTCTGCGGCAGCAAGTTCGGCGCGCGCGGCCCGTGCGGCAGTTTGCCGCGCCCCCCTCCCCCGCCGCTGAACGGCAGTCTACTTCGGGTTGCGCAGCACGATGATGACCGAGTCGCCTCTCAGGAACATCTTCGAGATGAAGCGGTCTTTGTTGACGGGCTTGGCCTTCTTGACGCCCTTGCCCTTTTTGGGAACCTCCGTCCACATCTCCTTGACGTTCTCGAGCACCATGTTGCAGTGCCGGTCAAAGGCCTTGACGCGGCCGAGCAGCTTCTTGTTGTTGCGGCAGTTGATGAGCACCTGCGTGTTGGACTTGACGCTCTGCGTGAGCACCGAGAGCGGCCCGGTGTGGAACTCCTCCTCCTCCGACTTCTTCTCCTTGACCGCGTCCGCGGCGCGCGTGGTCGCCATGTCGCGGCGCAGCCACGGAGGCGCGAGCAAAGGGCAGGCAAGGCTCTTCCCACTGACACCGTGAAATGAAGGTGCACGGCGAACCAGTTTAGACCATGTTTGTATTAGACCCAGTTTAGACCAACTGGGTCTAAACAGGGGTCGGCCTGGGTGGGGGACCCCATTCATTAGTCATTAGACATACCAGGTTTAGACCCGGTTTAGGGCGCCCCTAGGCCCTAGGGGCGCCCCTACCTAGCCCCTCGCGCTAGCTCCGCCGCCGCGGCCGCGCTGGCTGCGGAAGCGGCAGCGTGCAGCCGCCATCCTCTGCCTCGGGCCGGACAGGCGCACGGTGTCGGGCAGCGTGTCTGATGACCTCGTCCATGCCGGTCGTCGAAGTGCATCAGCAGCCGGTGTCGTGCTCGCTATTGGTCGGCCAATGGGCGACGATGGTGGCGGGGAACCAGTCCGTGCTCCCATCCTCTTGGTATTGCTAAAAATCTCTCTCTCTCTCCCACACGGCCTCTCTCGTCACAGAGCAGGGGAGCTGGGCGGGGAGGTGCGCGCTGCCTCGCGCGGGGGGGTGGGGGGGAACCCATTAGACACACCAGGTTTAGACCCAGTTTATCGTAAACAGGATTAAAATCTGGTTCGTGTTTAGCAGTGGTCTAAACTTGGAGCACTTGGAGTGCAGT